GGTGGGAGCGCCGGGGGGGATGGAGGCGGCTGCACGGCCCCGTGCAAGTGAGTAAAAACACCTTAAAAACCACTTAATATCGCCGCCGGAGAGGATAATTTAAAGCCAGTGCTCGGTGACAGTTGCTGGGAGGGTCGTACAGGAGTTTGGGGGGGACCAGGGCGGCGGACTGGGGGGCAAACTAGGCCAAACTGGGCCTCCCCTCGCTACCCGTGGGCGTAAATATCTCCCATCCCTCCCAAAAAGCACCCAAATACTGGCCTGTTTAATGACCCGCTGGTAGGGCGGGGGGGGAGAGCAGAAAACCAGTTTGGGAGATTTTCCCCTCCACCATTCCCTGTTTGGGTGTATCTCCCCTCCTCCATTCCCAGTTTGGGTGTATCTCCCCTCCCCCCTTCCCAGTTTGGGGAGGGGTTCCCCCCAGCCACCCCCCTCTTGCCATTTTTGGGGAGGAGGTCTATTCCCCTCCTCCATTCCCAGTTTGGGGCCGAGTCCCAATTCCCCATTCCCAGTTAGAACGATTTAATCCTCTCACCCATTCCCAGTTTGGCGGGGGCGGGGGGAGGTTTCCATTCCCAGTTTGCGGGTTTATCTCCCTCCCCTATTCCCAGTTTGGGGGTGCTGCACACATATCCCCTCCCCCATTCCCAGTTTAAGGGGTGTTTCCCTTTCCCCATTCCCAGTTTGAGGGGTGTTCCCCCTGTCCCAGTTTGGAGGGGTGTCCCTGTTCACATCCCCTCGTCTGTTCCCAGTTTGGGAGCCTCTCTCCCAGTTTGGGAGCCTTTCTCCCAGTATGGGGGCTCCCTGCCCATCCCCCATTCCCAGTCCATGGGAAGATGGGGGGTGTCTCCCCCTCCCCACCCCACCGTGGGGGCCCAGTGGGACCTCCCGAATGTCCCGGGGTCCTGTGTCACCCGTGGGTGTCCCCACCCCCGCACCAATGAGGATGTGGCACCCAACTGGGAGCTCCTGGGGGAGGATGGGGAGGAGCAGTGGGAGCTACTGGGAGAGGATGGGGGGGGGCACCTATGGGTGCTGACCCCCTTCGTCACCCCCCGCCCTGGAGTGGGGACCCCCACGTGGGTGTCCTCGGTGTGGTGACATCCCCCTTGGGTGTCCCTGGGGTGCTGGCACCCATGTGGGGTGGGGACACCCCTGGGGCCCCCCCAGTACCGCCCCTCCGGTACCGCCCCCCACACAGGGGGGCACAAGGGGGTTACTGGGAGCACTAAGGGGTGGCTGGGGCGGGCACCAGGGGGTTACTGGGAGTACTGGGGGTTACTGGGAGTACTGAGGAAGGACTAGGAGTGATGGAGAAGCTGGTGGGTAGACACAGGGGGGCACAAGGGGGTTACTGGGAGCACTAAGGGGTGGCTGGGGCGGGCACCAGGGGGTTACTGGGAGTACTGGGGGTTACTGGGAGTACTGAGGAAGGACTAGGAGTGATGGAGAAGCTGGTGGGTAGACACAGGGGGGCACAAGGGGGTTACTGGGAGCACTAAGGGGTGGCTGGGGCGGGCACCAGGGGGTTACTGGGAGTACTGGGGGTTACTGGGAGTACTGAGGAAGGACTAGGAGTGATGGAGAAGCTGGTGGGTAGACACAGGGGGGCACCAGGGGGTTACTGGGAGCACTAAGGGGTGGCTGGGGCGGGCACCAGGGGGTTACTGGGAGTACTGGGGGGAACTGGGAGTGCTGAGGAGGGACTAGGAGTGATGGAGAAGCTGGTGGGTATACACAGGGGGGCACCAGGGGGTTACTGGGAGCACTGGAGGGGACTGGGAGTGCTGGAGAGGCTGTGGGGGTAGACATGGGGGGGCACCAGGGGGTTACTGGGAGCACTAAGGGGGAAGTGGGAGGACTGGGAAGGCTGGTGGAGTGGACGCTAGAGGGCAACAGGGGGGGTACTGGGAGTACTGGGGGGAACTGGGAGTGCTGAGGAGGGACTAGGAGTGATGGAGAAGCTGGTGGGTAGACACAGGGGGCCACTGGGAGTGCTGGGGAGCAGAAGTGGGAGCACTGGGGAGGGACTGGGAGCACTAAGGGGGAAGTGGGAGGACTGGGAAGGCTGGTGGAGTGGACGCTAGAGGGCAACAGGGGGGTTACTGGGAGTACTGGGAGTGCTGGGGAGGGACTGGGAGTGACGGAGAAGCTGGTGGGTAGACACAGGGGGCCACTGGGAGTGCTGGGGGGCAGAACTGGGAGCACTGGGGAGGTTATTGGAATTACTGGGTGTTATTTGGAGTGCTGGGAAGGTCGGCTGGGGGAAACCAAGAGCAGTGGGATGTTACTGGGAGCACTTGGGAGGCACTGGGGGTTACTGGGAACACTGGGGGGGAGCCACAGGAAGCCCTAGGAGTTAGTGGGAGCTCGGGGGG